CACCACGGCCGTGTCCGTGCGCGTTATCCTCGCCATCGAACTCTCCACAGGCGGATCCTCGCGCTGCCGCGGATCCTGCACGAGCAGTTTCGCATCGCGATGCTGTTGCGGCCCTCCTTGTCTCGCTGACGTGGAACCTCGCGAAACAGCTGAGCACCTCGCTGAAGCGAGACCTCGCTCGGATGAGGATCCTCCCACAGCGCAGACGTGGAGCCCTCGCGCGGTTGCCCATCCTCTTGGTGGCGCGGAACGTCCACGCTCTGGGCTTCTCTGGATGCTGACGCGGATCTCCTGTTTGCCGACGCGGGACCTCACGCTGACGTGGATGTTTCTTTCCGTTGCCGCGGATCATCCACATGCTGATGCGGCTCCTCGCGCCGCCGCAGCCCGCTGCGCGCCCGAGCGCCTCGAGCTGGTCGCCGTCAAGTTCAAACGCGCCGCTGTCTCGCTGACCGACGTCGTCGAGCACTACAGGATATGCGGCGTCGCGCGCAAAGGCTGTACACGTCTATTCGACGGCCGTGATGATTGCGGCCCGATCGACGACGGCGCGCCATCCAGCTTGTGACGCGACCATTCTATGTCTCCTGTTCACCCTGCGGAACTTCGCCAACGTCGGGCGGATCCGCGCGGTGGTCGCGCTCAAATGTTTGCCCTTGCTCGTCTCCAACCTCGCCAACATGAATTCCACGTGCTACATGCGAGCCCACGCGCGCGCCCTTTGGTTCCTCCTGGCTGGTGCGCTGCCACTCGTCGTGGGCGCTGCGGCTGAGCGCCTTGGAGCGTCACGGGCGACAGCCACTGGCAAGCGGCACATGGTCCGGCACACATCGTGCATATCTTCCACGACTGCATCACCAACGACTGCGTCACTGTTCTCGGCTTCGCGCCGTGCTGCGTGGTCCTGAGCTGGCACCGCTGCTGCTGACGCCTCCACCCGTTACCATCATCACCATCAGCATCACAACACCACCATCATCATCATCACCATCATCATCATCATCATCATCATCATCATCATCATCATCATCCTCATCCTCATCCTCATCATCATCATCATCATCATCATCATCATCATCATCATCATCATCATCATCATGATCATCATAATCAGCATGCTCATCATAGAATATCATGTTCTAATGCGTGTTGTTTCGTGCCACGCTCACCCCCCAGTCTGCTTGCGACGCGTGCCGCCTCGTCCGAAGCTTTGTGCTTGCAGGAGCGCCACGGAAGCGCCCCCGCTCGGCCCGCCTCAAGTGCCGCCAACACGGCCGAGGCGATGCGGCAAAGATGGCGGCGGTGGCCGCGGCGCTGTTGGCGGCTGTGAGCATCGGCGCGAGCCGAGGGCGAGGCGGAGCGCCTGGAGCAGGCACGCCTGGCGCGAGCGGCTTCCTGGCGCTGCCGACGGGGGCCGCGGCGGCGCTGCCTGCGCCGCAGGCGGGAGTCGGCCATGGTCAAGGCATCGGCCGAGGCAGGGCGAAGGCGCAGGCCAAGGTAATCGGTCGTGGACGTGACGATGCTGCAGCTGCTGGAGGTGCGGCTGAGGCTTCACCTGTCGGAGGCACGGCTGCAGCGGCTGGGGGCGCTGCAGGAGCACCACCGGCTGGAGACGGCGGAGCGACAGCTGCGGGAGGCGCTGCTGGTGGCGCTCGCAGACGCGTTGGTGGTCGGCGAGGCGTCGCTGGAGCGGCCGCTGCGGGAGGAGACGGTGCAGGAGGTGTCCCCGCTGGCGGAGCTGCAGGAGAACCCCACATAGGGGCGGTGGCTGGTGCTGGCGGGCCCTTGGGAGGCGTGGTGCCCGATGCAGGTGCTGCAGGCATCCCTGCTGTGCCAGGCCCTGGAGTGGCTGGAGGCGGAGCGCCCTTTGGAGCTGGATGCGCTGGCCTCGGAGTCGCCGTGAACGGCGCTGCTGGAGGAGGCCTCCGAGGTGAAGGTGCCGCGAGGGACGCCCCTGGAGGAGGCGACCTGCTGGGCTGGGTGCTGGCTGCAGGCGCGTGCGCCGCGGGAGGCGCTGATGGTTGCGGTCTGGCGGCCCCGCCAGGAGGAGCAGGCCCTTGGGTCCACGGCCCGTCGCCGCCGACGGCCTACCAGCGCTCGGGCCTCAGCCCAGGATGCATGCTGGAGGGCGTCACGCTGGACGACCTCGGGAGCGCTGCGGAGACTGCACCCTTTCAGGTGCGGAGTGTGTGGCCTGGCGATGGCATGGAGTGTTTCGTGGAGACGTGGTTCATGGGCTGCAGCAGCGCTTCGCGGTGGCCCACGCTGGCTGGCAGCTTCACCAGCCGAGGAGGCGCGGTGCCACACCTATGCACGCAGCTGGCGAGTGAGTGTGCTGGACTGGTCCATTGGCCTCAGAGGTCGGTGTTGCGCGAGGAGACCTACCGCATGCGCTCGCCCAGCAACTTGACGGAGGTCGGGGTTCGGCAGTCTGGCGGTGCAAACCCTGGAGCTGCAGCAGGCGCGCCCGCTGCTGCCCTCCCTGCTACCGCACCTTTCGCTCCTGGAGGTCCGGCGGCTCAGCCCACACCCGAGGATCTGCAGAAGAAGAAGATTGCTGGGTTCAAGAAGCGACAGCATCAGAAGCAAAGCATCGGCGAGCCATGGACGGTCTGTGCCGAGGCTATCTTGACGAGGATCAAACGCAGACGCCATGGCCGAAGTCAACGTCGTGATGCTTCATATGACAGCCGCTCCGAGGACTCGTTTATTGACTGCGCCCCACACGTCGAACCAGGCCACAGGACTGCTCATCTAGCGCGAGGGGGACCTGGGGCGCTACTCCTCAGCGGAGCAGAACAGATCAAGAAGTATCTGGCGAGGCGCGAGGGGCAGGGCGGTCACGAGAGCCTGGGCGAGCTAGCAGCATCAGTGATGCGACACATCACCAGCGTCTGGCACGGTCACCACTCTCAGAGCGAGATGGGAGTGAGGAACGGGCGTGGCTTCAGGACAGTCGGCGAGTGCTTCGACGCCCTGCTTCGAGGACAACTGGACCATCTCGGAGACCTCCTCGGGCCGAGGCGGAAGACGATCGAGCGAGCCACGCAAGACGGACACTGGCGGGTGGCGCCGCACCTCGAGCTTTGCGACGACCTGGGAGTGGGATCCGCGAAGCAGGAGGAGGTGCACGTAGCGGAGAGCCATCACAGGAGGATGCACGGCCTGACGGAGAGCGCGGCCAAGGCCAGCAGCCGCGGGGCCCGGCAAGAACCAGAACCGGATCGTCCCCCAGCAGGTCACCTCCATGCTCTCCCGCGGGAAGATTCTGAGGAAGTCACGCTGGCGCGTGGAGAAGCGGCGGGCGGCAGCTGCGAGCGCAGCCGCAGGGGCCGCCCCCGCGAGCCCAGGCGCCGCCGCAGGGGGGCCAGCGCAGCCAGGCATGCCGCCTGCAGCGCCGCCCTCTGCCGCCACCGCGCCGGGTTCACCGCGCGGGAGTCCTCGCGGAGGAGTTCGCCCAGGCCCCTGCAGGTGGCCGTTTCCTCGCCCACGGCAGCAGGGCAATGCCAGGCCGCCCCCTCCAGCAGTTCACTTCGTGGAGGACTCGGAGAAGCGAGCGAGCTCGAAGTCGCCAACGCGGAGGTGGAACCAGGGCCCTCCGAGGAACCCCGAGGGCCGCCAGAGCCTGGAGTCCTAGGGCCGAGGAAAAGGCAATCCAGGCAATGGCAAACCTGGGAAGCGCCTCGGCAGAGGGTACTCGCAGAGATCGAAGGGCAAGCCGATGGGCAAGGACCGTCGCTGAGCCCCCAGTCTGTGATCGAGGCGGGCCCCAGTGGAGGCGAGTCTGGCAGGCTCACCACTTTGGATGCCGGCGCCTTTGAGAAGCCCCCCCCTGCTTACTTCGCTGACATGCACGACGTGGAGCACGACGTCCCTTTGGGCGCAAAGAACGACTTCATGAATTCATTACCTTGTTCATCTGCCCTTGTCTCTGGCTCTCCGCTGGAGCTCTCGGGGGACTGTTTACTGCGAAAGATTGGCCGTGCGTTACACCGCACCCTGACACGTTTGCCCGTTTATTCAGAGATCGCGTTCATCCACACCTGGCTCCTCAACGTATACCCGATGTTGCAGACGCTGATAGTGCACCTCTTCTGGCTCCTCACTGTACACCCGATGCGGTACCGATGCATGCAGTTTCACGTTCGGCTCGTCGACATTCCTCCGAGCGCAGTGCGATTGGCGACTGCTCACACCCGGCCTCCCAGCGTACACCCTCCGACGCTGTATCAGCTCTACCTCATCATAATCTTCGGAGCCTCCGAGATGAACTTGTTAGTGTCCCTGTTCTTTCTGATGGTTCACGACGCTCACCACCGAACGGTCGACGAGAGAAACGAGATCTACCTCATCCCCCGATCGCGTTCAACATTCGAGCCGCCCCTCTGGGTCGTGGAGATCCTGCAGAGGAGAGTGGATTGCTGGCCGAGGGCACGGAGGCAAAGCTGAGCTGGGTGCACGCCATCGGCACGGGCATCGACCACCACTACATGCGCGGCTGGTCGGCCGCCCCTGAGGCGCCACCGAGTGCCGTGCAGCGTCGGGCTCTCAACCACTTGCCGCACGAGGTTCGGGTGTTCCGTGATCAGCGCTCAGGAACGACACCCATCGTGGACTGGGGGTCGGAGCTGACAGCGGCGGCGACCTCGCATGTTGGCGAGGAGGTCTTCCCAGCCGAGCCGCTCGACAGGCCGAGTTTACTGGAGGCGCTGCCGCCGATCGGTGCTTGCACGGCGGTCAAGGCGTTAGACGTCACCGAGGGCTGGTTCCAGGCGGCGCTGTCTGACCCCAGGTTCATCCTGATAAATGCGGAGGGGATTGGAGTCCTGCCGCCGTCGCCCAGGGTGTAGGCCTCCAACCCAGAGTGGGAGCTGCTCGCAGGCGACCTCGTCAGGCGCGACATCCTGAAGCCCACCGAGTACAAAGAGACCGTGCAGTTCAGTGGCCAGAAGATCATGGGCGGCACGCTCGGCGTGAAGAAGGGCTCCCTCGCGAGGGACGAGAGCCCCCAGAGTCTGGTGATGAACATCACCCCGTCCAACTTCATTCAGCAGACAATGAAGGGGGACATGCCCTTGCTCCCTCACAGCGACAAGTGGAGGAGGATGGTACCGCGCCCAGGGAATTTCTTGCTCTGGAGCGCGGAGGAGCTGAAGTGCTACTTCTACGTGTACAGCCTGCGCGACGCCTGGTTGGAGTGCCTGGCCTTCCCCAAGCCGGTGCGGCGGGGCGCTGTCGGTCTACCTGGGACGGGGCCGACTTTTCTGGCGGCCGCGGTGGTCCCCATGGGCTGGTTCTCAGCGACAGGAGTTTTTCAACGCATCCATCGCTATCTGCCTCGATCGTGGCATCCTGGACTCCAACCGCTGGCTTCCTGGGAGGAGGTTCGTAATGATGCTCCCATGCCGCCTGCGCGTCGGGCTCACCGTGACGGTGGAGCTGTGGCCCATGTTCGGGGCCAGGGTGGCGGTGCTATCGACGATCTTGACGTGCTCGAGTTCACCGACTGGCGGCAGGCGTACCAGCTCCGGGAGAAGGGCATGAGCGAGCTGGCGCAGGTAGCGAGTGCGGGGTGCCAGAGCTTCGGGGTGCCTCGGAGTGAGAACAAGGCCGTGATTCAGGAGGTGAAGTCGCAGCCCAGGGGGGGGGGGGGCGGTCGACAAGGCTCAGGGCATGAGCAGGCCCCCCGCCCAGTTCGTGGAGCGTTTGGCTTCTCTTACCATCGCGACGCTCAGAAGGAGGGGCGCCACGAAGAAGTGGATGCAGATCTTGGCGGGCCGCTGGGCGCGTCGTGTGTGCTGCAGGAGGGAGGCGACGATGCGCTTCACCGAGTTGTGGCGGGTGTTGGTCCGCCTCAAGGGCCAGGCCTCTTTGCCTGCCAAGGTCCGCGAGGGGCTCATCTCGGCCATGGCGCGGCTGCCACTACTGAGGTGCGACCTACGCATACCCTTCTGCGTTCTGGTGACGGTGTGCGACGCCAACATGCAGAGGGGCGCCGTCTGCCGCTACGCTCTTGGGCAAGATGGAGTGGCAGCGGCAAGAGCAGCGAGCAGGAGGCCCGCGACGGTTCTTCACGACGCGGTGGCGCTGGTGCCCCTCTTCGATGGGATAGGAAGGGCTCGCAGCACCTTGGACCTCTTGTACCTCACCTCGGTGCTGTTCGTGTCCGCGGAGATCGATGCCGAGGCCAAGAGAGTGACCAAGTATGCGTGGCCCGAGATGCTGAAGGTGGGCGACGCGCAGTCCTTCGGGCACGCTGAGGCGATGGCGTTCAGAGAACGCGTGCCCCACATCGAGTGGTTCCTCCTCATCGGCGGAAGCCCGTGCACCGACCTCGCTCGCCTCAGAGTGGAGCACGTCGGGCCACTGGGGAGGCGCTCAGAGCTGTTCATTGAGAGCTCCCGTATCCGCCTGCTCCAAGGGGAAGTGCTGGGTGAGTCTTGTCGGCTCATGACTCTGACCGAGAACGTGACCTCGATGGATGCCGAGTCGCGCAATTTTATGGGCGAGCACCTCGGTCACCAGCCACGTCGTGTCGGAGCTGGCGGCATCACGCACCGCTATCGCGACCGCCTGTACTGGATCGACGAGAGCCTACTGCGCGGGCGGCACGGCGACGTCTCCGTCCTCGAGGGCGCCAAGATGATCCACATGCCGGGGGGTCCTAGGCCGGTGAGGCGTTCGCTGAGCCAGGATCTCAAGTGGGCGGGAGCCGCGGATGAACACCTTTGGCTGCCAACGCTCTTGCGATGTGTTCCTCGGCGCGCCCCTGGAGCTTTGCATGCTGGGCTGCAGCGCCGCTCTGAGGAGAAGCTTCAGAGATGGCAAGATTTCGAGTACTACTATGCGCCATGCCAGCTTGAGAACGGGAGCCGCATCGAGGAGCCCTGTGGTGTGTCCAGTCCACCTAACAGCGTGGAGAGAGAGCTACCTCTGGACCTCTTGCCAGGGCACGCCATGACAGCTCGGGTCACCTGGGCCAGAAGGCTGGGAGAACTCGAGCTCGAGGCGACTTGCCGCTCCCCGCAGGGCAACAGCTCCCAGTGCATGGCAGAGGCGTGGATCCTGGCACACGGGGCGGTGAAGTTTAGGTACTTGCACGCCGTCCCCTCAGTGGTGGAGATGCGCGTCTTCGGTGGCGGCGCCGCGATCGAGGACGACAGCGTCGACTTCGACGACGTCACCCACGTTGAGGGCGGGCCCATCCAGCAGCAGAACCTGGAGGAGCCGGACGCGGCGCTGGACCCGAGCCTCGTGATCGTGGAGGGGCTGGCGCGTCGGCCTCAGGCTCGTGGCGGCCACATCAGGCTGGACACCTTCGAGGCGACGCAGCCAGACCGGTGGCCCAGGAGGCCGATCAGCGGGGCCCGCTGGACCTGGCGCGCGATCGCCAGCTGGGAGTGGAAAAGACCATCACACATCACGGACATCGGGGTGCGCGCAACACTGGGGGCTCGCATACGGAGTTTGCGTTCCTCTCATCTTTTACGTGCAAGTTCCTGTCGCTTCATGGACTCGCAGGCAGGTTTGGGAGTGAGCACTTGTGGTCGCTCATCCTCGCATTTATGACATTCCTCAGTTCGACGTATTGGTGTGCTGATCGTGGCTGCTCTGGCTCGCCCCATGTGCAGTTACACAGAGTCCGACCGCAACCCCGCCGAAGGTCCATCGCGGGCGGCGGTGAGGTCGGGGCGGCCGCCAGATGCCAGTGGATTCACCTCGCTGCACGCGAGCGGCAGCAGATCAGGCCACACGCCCACACCTTCGAGCTGCTGTGGCGCGCCTCTCCTTCACAATCTGGTGCAGCAGCGGACCCGCGTTCGCTACCACAATGCATTTAGACCATTCTCAAATTGGGTTGTGAGCCGAGGCCTGACGTGGATGGGAGCTCCAGACCACGTTGTCAAGCCCGACCTCCGCGTGACCAAGTGAATCGAGTGGCCCTGGACCGAGGGTCACCTGCAGGGCCTGGCGGGCCGCATTATGTCGACAGTTCAGTTCTTCTTGCGGAAGAAGCGAGCCTTGCCAGCCGTTGGACGACTGCTGCGTGCTTGGCAGAACCTCGAGCTGCCGCGGGGCGCCCTGCCATTGCCCGAGAGGGTCCTGCTGGTGGTGGCGGCCACGGCGAGGGGCTGGAGTCCAACGACATGGCAACGCTGCTCGGGATGGGCTTCGCAAGCTTCCTGAGGACCAACGAGATGCTGACGCTGCTCCTGTGGCAGGCAGCGACCGTCGTGGCTCGCGCCAAGACAGTCATCATCCTTCAGTCACAAAAAGAAGCTGGCGGTTCCATCAACCGCGTGAGTGATGATCGATGACCCGCCAGTTGTGCAGCTCGCCTTTCTCCTGCTTCATCATCTTATCCTGAAGCTCCCCTTCTCGCCTCGAGCGTCACCTCATTTTCATGACAAGTTTGAGCAGTCGTGCACTGCCCTCGAATGCCAGCAATTCAGTTTCCCCCTGATTGTCTCAGACGATGGGGGGGGGGCACATCGTAGTTTGTGAGAACTCGTAACATGCTTGCCACCCTTGAGAAGGGGAAATGGCAGTGTTCGGCCACTGCTCGTATATACATAGCAGATGGCCTTTCAGAGATGCAGTTCTCGCCATCATGCCATCAGACACTCTGTGATCTTGGCAAGTTTGCTGGCCTACGATGTGGCCAAAGGTTTTTCGGCACAGCCAGAGAGGGAGTCGTGGAAGAGCGCTCTTGGGAGTTTCGTTGCCCTCTCAGTCACGCCTTGCCTCACCCAGCGCCTTTCTTCCCTTCGGGCTGCTGGCGGCCTTCATCTGGTCTCGGTCTGGGGCCCCGTGGAGGGTTTCTAGATTCAACGGCCTCCGAGGGCCCTGCCTCGGGTTCCGGGGGGAAATCGGCCGCTCGGGGCTGGCGGCGCTGGCGAGAGGCAAGACGGGGCAGGAAGTTCAGTGGAACTCGTCTGCTCCGTTTTCGGCCCGAGAGGCCACCGCTCTGTGACAAACCTCTGGCGAGCGTGGGCTAAAAGACCTGGGGGGTTCAAGCGGGGAGAGAAACAATCATCATCATCATCATCATCATCATCATCATCATCATCATCATCATCATCATCATCATCATCATCATCATCATCATCATCATCATCATCATCATCATCATCATCAGCATCATCATCAGCATCAGCATCAGCATGCTAGCCCCTGACTTGCCCTGCAGACGTGACCCATCCAATTACCCTCCTTCTCCTCCCCCTCCTCCTGCTTTTTCTCCTCCTCCTCCTTCCTCCCCTCCTCCTGCTCCTCCCCCTCCCCCCCTCCTCCCCCTCCTCTTGCTTCTCCTCCTCCTCCTCCTCCTCCTCCTCCTCCTCCTCCTCCTCCTCCTCCTCCTCCTCCGTGGGCCGTCGACTCTGTCAGCTGGCCCAAGCTCGGCTCGAAGGACGGGGGCGCAGGAGGTGGCGGCAACGGCAAGGCTTCCCTTCCACCTACGCCGACGCCATCATGGTCAGCGCCTTGGCCTCTGCGGGCATGAAATCGGACCCGTTCAAGACGCTGGCTGCGTCGAAGTGCACTGCTCCGCCTCCCAAGCCTGCGTGCACGGTGCTCAGGGAGGCCACCATCGAGTGCTCGCGCAAGCAGGGGGCCTTGCACTGCGCGACGCGCTCGGCCGAGAGGGCCAAGATGCAGCCAGAGCATGCGCGCGAGGCTTTCACCAAGGCCAGTGACGAGGTGGTGGAGGTCGAGCGCCAGCGGTTGCTGGCACAGAAGGCAGTCGGCACGTGCGTCAACAACAGGGAGGAGGCCGACTTCAGGGTGGATCGCGAGTTGTTCGAGTCCCTGGACGAGCTCAGGCCCGCTGCCAAGCAGGCGCTGGAGACCTTCCAGAAACAGCTGGAAGAAATGGCGAAGCAAGCGAGCTCGAGAAGCAGAAGGAGCTGTAGGCCTTGCTGGAGCCGGCGATGTCGGCTCGCAAGGGGGCCGCCACCAAGCGCCGCCGCCGCGACGAGGGCGGCGCAGCCGTGCGCGGCAGCGGCGACCCCGCCGCGCAGGCCAGAGGCGCTGCCGAGGCGGGCCCAGGCGCCGCGGCCACTGAGGCCTCCGACGTCTCCGAGAGCGACCGCGAGGAGCTGCGAGAGAGGATGGGGGGCCACGGCGGTGCGCCGGGCGCAGCTGGCGGAAGGCCTGGTCGGAGCTCGGTCGATGGTGCTGCGGGGGCTGCTGCTGCTGCTGGGGCTTCTCAGCCCTGGCGCCCGCGAGCGGCGCCCGAACCGCTGGGGCGACGCAGCGGCAGGTGCACCTGTGCGAGGTTCTGAAGGCTCCTCGCTGGACATCCTCCTCGGCAACGTCGCGGAGCGGGGACCGCAGGAGGCGCGAAACCTGGCTCGTGCGCAGGATCGCCGCGCTGTGGCCTTCGCGGAGACGCACACAGGGAGTAATGGCATGACAGACATCTGCAGCGGGCTGAACAAAGACGGCTGGCATCTGGTGCACGCGCCTGCTCGTCCGTCTGGCAAGTCGGAGAGTGGCCTCTCTGGAAGCGAATGGATATTGACGATAATGCATCGACGAGCTTTGAGAGTGCTCGCAGCACGGCTCTTGACGAAGGACGCCTCGATCCATGCCGAGGCTTCGCACCGCTTGCGCTGCACACGAAGGCCAGCAACCTCGTGCTGATAGCGGCCTACCTACAGCCTGGGCTTGGCGTGGAAGGGCGGATAAAGAACGAACAGGTGGCCTTGGGTGCCTTCCCTCCTGCCTTGGCCGACCCGTGGCTGGCGCTGGCCCACTGGAGCATCGAGCCAGCGCCCTTCTCGGCGACGGGATGGCCGCAGAAGCTCGGGGCCACCATCGCCACGCCGTCATGCAGCACGACGTGCGACAAAGGTGCTGGACGCATGCATGATTTCGGCTTGGTGGGTCGCGGATTTCCTGAGTTGAAGCTGACCCCTGATCTGAGCGTGCCGTGGAAGACCCACTGCGGAGTCAGTGTTCAGACCAAAGCTGCTCGAGTTCCCCGCCGGTATCGACAACTCCTTGTCCCGCCACCTCTTCCCACGCGTGAGCGCCCGCGGGCGCTGCCCGACCCTGAGAGCAAGAGGTCAAAGAAGAAGGAGGCATCTCGCCAGCGGCGACGTCAGCGGCTTGCTGAGGAGCATCTCGACGCCATTGAGGATTTGCGCCCCAAGGAGGTTGAGGAGGAGAAGGTGAGTTTTGAAATTTCGGAGGAGGTTTGGCGGGAAGCTGAGTTGCAGATCTATTGGGAAGGTGTGCCTGTCGCCACTGATGTGGACAGCCAAGGCTCGCGCCTCCCCGCGCATGATCGCGATGCGCACTTTGTCTTCCAATGGGATCACGTGGCTCGACTTCAGGCGGATGAGCGATATTACCGCTGGATCAGTGTGATGGAGCGTGCTAGGCTGCTGCGCGAAGGGGTGGGCCCAGACGAATGGCGCCGCTGCTCTGGTCGTGCTCGGGGGCCCGGCTGCTGCGGGAGCCACCTCCGCTCCGCGCCGGGGAGGGCGCACATGGAGAACGAGCAGGCAGAGCGGTGGGGCGTGGCAAGCTCCGTGATAGTTAGATCTGCGGCGCTACGGCGCAACGACAGCGATCCTGAGCAAGCAGCCCTGTGCGCGCTGAAGGCCCAGACGCTGATCGGGTAGCTGGACCCCGCCAAGGACGAAGAGTACTTCGGCAAGAAGGCGAAGTCCGAGGACATCTTTGTCTGGAACGGGCTGGTCGCCAGCTTGGACTCAGCGCAGGAGTAGTTGCTGGCGGAGTTGGTGGATCGTACCCCAAGATGGCCAGACTTCTCGGCTGCCAGGGCGACGATGGCGTCCAGGTCTTCCTTTTTATGAAGTGGGTGCAGGATACGTGGGCCAAGAGGCCAGGTTGCGTGCATCGACATGTCAAGCTTTTCTAACCGCCAGATTGGGAGGGCCTTGGCCAGACTGGCGCAGCGAATACGGATACCCTGGCTGTACGTTGCAGGGTATGGCTTCAGAGTGGACTCACATGTGGAAGGACCGTGTCAACAGGCCCCATGATTTCTTGAACATGATGCGCACTCATGGACGCTGCCTTGGCGGACCCACTTCCACCCATTACGACTCTGGATTTGGATGCTGTGTTACCTAAGATCCCCTCGAGGAATGCGAAAGGAGTTCCTAGCGATTCAAGCGGCGTCGACGCTTCAGCGACCCGCCCGCTCGACCCAGCCGTCCAGGCCCGCCCACCCGACCCGCCCGTTAGGGTCCGCCTGGCCGACCCGCTCGTCTGGTTCAGCCGCTTGATTTCTTGCTCCTACCCCCTCTCCCGCTAATCTCTCTCGTCCTCCATCCTTCTCCCTCCCTACCCCTTGTCCCTTCCCTCCTCATTCCATCTCCCTGGCGAGAGGGGGTGCGCCAGCTATACGCGGCAGGTAGGGAAGATATGCCCCCAAGGAGGTACGACCGAAGATGAAGCGGGCGGAGATCGAGGGATTGCAATACATATGTTGAATGACGCGCGAGCAGGTAAGAGCGAACCGTATTAAGGTGATTGTTGTTGTTGTTGCTGTTGTTATTGTTGTTGTTGAACACTCCCTGAAGAATAAGTATTGTTGATCCCCCTCCGGTAACATATGTGTTTCTTCAAGTGAAGTGTTTTTCCCGGGGCTCGCACCCTGTTTTTGATCAGGGAACGTCTTCCTCCTCAAACTCCGTTGTCGGGCCCCGAACTACTACAGTACAACAACGGCTCCCGCTTGATACTTCCTCACAATGTATTCCCAAAATCGCGCTCTCGCGCTGGACTTCCTCACAATATAGCCAGGAATCGCGCTCTCGCGTGGGACTTCCGTTTAATTTATTCAGACGCCGCGTCCTCGGCATTCAGGAGCCACGCTTCCGCCGAGGATTTCCTCACAATTGATTTGGGGAATCAAGCTGTCGCTCGAGATTTCCTCGCGATTCATGCAGGACGCATGCTTCAGCAACCCGCGTGCTCGACCTGGCCGCCTGGGCCCTCCTCTCCGATCCACCTGGTAGGGTCTACCCGCCCGATCTGCCCGTCTGGTTCTGCCACGTGTTTTCTGCTCCTAGCCCCCCTCTTCCTAGTCCCTCTCGTGCTCCATCCTCCCTCCTCCTTGTCCCTTCCTTCCATCCGTCCTCTCTTCCCCTGCCTCAGGGGCTGCACGAAATACACGTTACAGGTAAAGATATACCCCCAAGGGGTACGGTCGAAGACGAAGAGGGCGGGTATCGAGGATTCGGGATATACGTGTTGGATGGCACGCGAGCAGATAAGATCGATCAGTCTTAAAACGGGTATTGTTGTTGCTGCCGCCTTTTGGGGTCTCCTTCGGGGGGTCTCGTTGCCACGGTTGGAGTCGCTTCGAAATCTTGGTCAGAGCGCTTCCCACGGAAAAGCTCGGAGTGGACAAAAGAGAGGGGGACCGGGAACGGGAGCTGCAGCATGCGGCTGCTTTCGGCTGTGCCGCCACGCACACCCCCCGACGCATGGCCGCGCCTGGCCCCGGGAGGCGCCGGACTGCCCCGCCCACCTCCCCCATTTGCCAGGAACGCCCCCCGACCAAGGAAAACGCAAGCACGCCGAGGAAGCGACCAAAAGAAAACAGAGGAAAGCCCAAAGCCAATGAAACATCTGCACCTTTTCCATCTGCACCTTTTCTGCTCCGCCAGGAGAGGCTCGCGCGACTGCTGGGGCCGCAGCAGCTGCTGGGGGGGGGCGGCGAGGCCAGCGTGCTCGTGCTCCCGGGTGGCGCCAACGACCCGCCTGCACCGCTCCCGGCTGGGCTGGTCCTGGGCCCAGCGGTCCTCCTCCTCCTCCTCCTCCTCCTCCTCCTCCTCCTCTCCTCCTCCCTTCTCCCTTCCACTTCCTCCTCCTCCTCCTCCTCCTCCTCCTCCTCCTCCTCCTCCCTCCTCCTCCTCCTCCTCCTCCTCCTCCTCTGACGCTCCAGCACCAAAAATCAAGGGACGTCCTAGGGTCTCAGGGTCGGGTTTCTTGTGGAGGGTTTCTTGAGATCGGGCTCCTACTGTAAACACCCGTCCTGGCTTAGCCAGGACGGGCGTGTGCGTGCGATTTCCAGGTCACCCCAACGGGCGAGTAACCAGCCGCGACCCAAGAGTCACCGAGAATAAAAGAGACCCTGACCCTAATAACACAGTGAAGACTTGGCCTCACGGAGGTCACCGTCTTTGCATTGGGGGTAATAGATCTGGGCGGTTTGGTTCGATAAATCTGCCCCCCAATATTAGCCTGACGAAAGACCCAACCATACGTAGATGTGAATACCGCAATTGTGGATATATTCTTCGGTGGCGCCCCCTGGCCACGAAACGAGTGAGGGGTGTGCCGAAATGGGGGGGTGGAACCGCATGCGAGCGCAGCCACTGGGGCGCTCGGTGGAGCTCCCTATGGGGCCACGAAACGTGTGAGGGGTGTGCCAGAATGGGGGGTGGAACCGCATGCGGGCGCAGCCACTGGGGCCTTCGGTGGAGCTCCCTATGGGGCCACGAAACGTGTGAGGGGTATGCCAGAATGGGGGGTGGAACCGCATGCGGGCGCAGCCACTGGGGCCTTCGGTGGAGCTCCCTATGGGGCCACGAAACGTGTGAGGGGTGGGGTGGAACCGCATGCCAGGGGTGTGCCAGAATGGGGGGTGGAACCGCATGCGGGCGCAGCCACTGGGGCCTTCGGTGGAGCTCCCTATGGGGCCACGAAACGTGTGAGGGGTGTGCCAGAATGGGGGGTGGAACCGCATGCGGGCGCAGCCACTGGGGCCTTCGGTGGAGCTCCCTATGGGGCCACGAAACGTGTGAGGGGTGTGCCAGAATGGGGGGTGGAACCGCATGCGGGCGCAGCCACTGGGGCCTTCGGTGGAGCTCCCTATGGGGCCACGAAACGTGTGAGGGGTGTGCCAGAATGGGGGGTGGAACCGCATGCGGGCGCAGCCACTGGGGCCTTCGGTGGAGCTCCCTATGGGGCCACGAAACGTGTGAGGGGTGTGCCAGAATGGGGGTGGAACCGCATGCGGGCGCAGCCACTGGGGCCTTCGGTGGAGCTCCCTATGGGGCCACGAAACGTGTGAGGGGTGTGCCAGAATGGGGGGTGGAACCGCATGCGGGCGCAGCCACTGGGGCCTTCGGTGGAGCTCCCTATGGGGCCACGAAACGTGTGAGGGGTGTGCCAGAATGGGGGGTGGAACCGCATGCGGGCGCAGCCACTGGGGCCTTCGGTGGAGCTCCCTATGGGGCCACGAAACGTGTGAGGGGTGTGCCGAAATGGGTGGGTGGAACCGCATGCGGGCGCAGCCACTGGGGCCTTCGGTGGAGCTCCCTATGGGGCCACGAAACGTGTGAGGGGTGTGCCAGAATGGGGGGTGGAACCGCATGCGGGCGCAGCCACTGGGGCCTTCGGTGGAGCTCCCTATGGGGCCACGAAGCGTGTGAGGGGTGTGCCAGAATGGGGGGTGGAACCGCATGCGGGCGCAGCCACTGGGGCCTTCGGTGGAGCTCCCTATGGGGCCACGAAACGTGTGAGGGGTGTGCCAGAATGGGGGGTGGAACCGCATGCGGGCGCAGCCACTGGGGCCTTCGGTGGAGCTCCCTATGGGGCCACGAAACGTGTGAGGGGTGTGCCAGAATGGGGGGTGGAACCGCATGCGGGCGCAGCCACTGGGGCCTTCGGTGGAGCTCCCTATGGGGCCACGAAGCGTGTGAGGGGTGTGCCAGAATGGGGGGTGGAACCGCATGCGGGCGCAGCCACTGGGGCCTTCGGTGGAGCTCCCTCGTGGTGTGCCACCGCAAGCCAAACGGTGTGTGAGGGGTGTGCCAGCATGGGGGGTGGAACCGCATGCGGGCGCAGCCACTGGGGCCTTCGGTGGAGCTCCCTATGGGGCCACGAAGCGTGTGAGGGGTGTGCCAGAATGGGTGTGGGAGGGGGAGGAGGGAGGAGGAGGAGAGGAGGAGGAGAACGCGGGGCGACGTCTCTTCAAAACGAGGACCCAACACCACAGGATGGTTGGGAAAAAGAGAGCCCCTGCCCCAAATGTGGTTGGCCCTCCTGCCTTAGGTCCCCTTCCCAGAGGGTTAGGGGTCCTTTTCTGGTGGATCGAGGAGGACCCAGGGTTCCTACGCCTCCCATGGGGGTGGGCTGGGCACCATCCGCATGGGAAGTGGAGGACGCTCCTTGAATCAGATCAGAGCGAGGAGGCCGAACGGTCTGACACCGTCCAGGGGTGCGTGGCTGAAGTGGGATTCCGCGGCGCTGGTGCTGCTTGTTGTTTGTTGTCGTCGTCCTCGCCCGCGACCCGTCCGCGACGCCCCCCCCCCAACGCACACACACACACACACACACACACACACACACACACACACACACACACACACACACACACACACCCACACACACACACACACACACACACACACACACACACAACACACACACACACACACACACACACACACACACACACACACACACACACACACACACACACACACACCCACACACACACACACACACACACACACACACACACACACACACACACACACACACACACACACACAACACACACACACACACACACACCACACACACACACACACACACACACACACACACACACACACACACACACACACACACACACACACACACCACACACCACACACAACACACCCACACACACACACAACACACACACACACACACACACACACACACACACACACACACACACACACACCACACACACACACACACACACACACACCACACACACACACACACACACACACACACACACACACACACACACACACCCACAACACACACACACACACACACACACACACACACACACACACACACACACACACACACACACACACACACAACACACACACACACACCACCACACACACACACACACACACACACACACACACACACACACACCACACACACACACACACACACACACAACCACACACACACACACACACACACACACACACACACACACACACACACACACACACACACACACACACACACACACACACACACACACACACACACACACACACACACACACACACACACACACACACACACACACACACACACATTGCCTTGACGAACACTCGCTGCCTGCGGCGGGCTCGTTGTGCAATTCAAATGTTCGGGGCCTGCGACGGGTTGCTTCGAAACCTCGCAGGCTCGGAAGAAGCCCGCCGCTGTTGCCAATTTTCACCCATTGCACAACGAGCCCGCCGCAGGCGCCAGATTGCCGTCAAAGCAATGTGGTTGGGTCGCGGGTAGCTCGCGGGCGGGTCGCGGGTGGGTCGTGGGCGTGTCGCGGGCGAGGGCGACGACAACAACAGACATCAAATAACAAGCAGAACCCGCGCCGCGGAACACCACTGCCACGCACCCAGGTTCGCGGCGATTGCTCCTGTCAAGCGTGCAGACGCACATGCTCGACGTCGGCGCTCTGGGGGGGGGGAGCGGGACACACGAGGGTTTGGGGGTTGGGGACCCCTCCTGGGCCCCAGATCTGGCAAAAAGCGGCACGCTCCCCCGCGACGCTGACCACGGCATCCGCGATGTGGTTTCAATCGATCGAACCCTCGGGTCCTGAGAGGTCTCCCAGATCGGAGGCGTCTGGAGGTCCCAACAAACACCCACCAACGCCCCCTCATCCTCCGCCGCGCACGCAGGAGCGAGCGCGTGCGGGGAGAGGAGGACGGATGGGGTGGAAGCAGTAAGCAGGAGGAGGGAAGGAGGAGAGGATCGGGAGGTGAGGAAGGGGGAGGAGGGAGGAGGGAGGAGGGAGAAGAGGCAGCAGCAGACCGAGCAGGTGTGCCACAGCCATCTCATCCGCCAGCTCTTCAGGGACCTCGCCGCGCCCAGCCTGGCGGAGTCGCGGCCCGGGCTGCTGGGCGAGCTGCGGGGGCGCAAGCTACAGAACTGCGGGGTGGTGAGGGCGGAGGTCGCCTCCGCGGGGCGCCGGGGGATGAACGAGGAGAAGGGAGGGAGGAGAAGAAGGAGAGGAGCAGGAAGACGCATCAACGATGTTGCAGTAAGCCCTCCCTCCAAGCTCCCTCTTCAGAGATACCTGTGATGAGTCGTCTTCGTTGCGGAGAGTTGAACACCGTTCGTGGGATTTCGACCATACGAGCCCTTGACAATGCTGCAAAACATCAAAACGAATGTGCACGGTGCTAAGGAGAGAGCCACTTTTGAAACGGAACCGCCATCCATCGTTGAAGCTGCTGCCACGTTGTACAACGAATGTGAGCGCCGCTGAGGCGAGAACCAGATGTTAAGCACCACCCACCCTCCATCCGTGAAGCTGTTGCAAACTTTGAAAACGAATGCGCGCGGCGCGAAGGCGATAGCCACATCTGAAAACCATCCGCCCTCCATCATTGAATTTGTTTTCGAATTTCAAGCTTCACTGCCGTAAACGGCGAGGAAGTGTCGGGCGAAACACCCAGCCAGCCCTACGACACGTCTGGGGTGCGATTGGCATTTTAACCAAAGGATATGCGTACGCAGTTTCCCACATGGTTTGTTTTTTCATTGGGGCGCGGATTGACAGGGGGGCGCAGAAGATGTAGGAAGATGGATAGAGGGGGACACAACACCTGATCTATAACATGGTTTTCGAAAACCCTCCGCGCTCAGGCGGGGCCTCTCTGAAGGGGAGGGAGGGGCACGACACCTGATCAATAATATGGTTTTCGAATACCCTCCTCGCTCAGGCGGGGCCTCCCTGGGGGAGTGGGAGGGGCACGAAACCTGATATATAACATGGTTTTCGAATACCCTCCTCGCTCAGGCGGGGCTTCCCTGAAGGAGTGGGAGGGACATGAAACCTGATAAATATTATGGTTTTCAAATGCCCTCCTCGCTCAGACGGGGCCTCCCTGGAGGAGTGGGAGGGGCTCCTCGCTCAGGCGGGGCCTCCCTGCAGGGGTGGGAGGGGCACGAAACCTGATAAATAGCATTGTTTTCGAATACCCTCCTCGCTCAGGCGGGGCCTCCCTGGAGGAGTGGGAGGGGCACGAAACCTGATAAATAGCAAGGGTGTTCGAATACCCTCCTCGCTCAGTCGGGCGCTCAGCCAGGGCCTCCTTGGAGGAGTGGGAGGAGCACGAAACCTTATGAATAACCAGGTTTTCGATTACCCTCCTCGCTCAGGCGGGGCCTCCCTGAGGGAGTGGGAGGGGCACGAGACCTGAGAAATAGCATGGCTTTCGAATATCCTCCTCGCTCCGGCGTGGCTTCCCTGGAGTGGTAGGTATGGTATGGTAGTTGTGGTATTGCAGGTGTGGTATGGTATGGTAGGCGGTGTGGTATGGTTGGCATGGTATGGTAGATGTTGTATTGGTATATTATGGTGGGTATGGTATGTGGTAGGTATGGCATGGTAGCTATGGAGTTGGTATGGCATTGGTAAGTATAGTAGGTATAGTATGGTGTGGTGTGGTGTGGTGTAGTGTGGTGTGGTATGGTATGGTATGGTGTGGTACGTATGGTGCGTATGGTATGATATGGTAGGGAAGCGGGAGAAAGAGAAGGAGAGGGTGTTCGAGGAAAACAAGAACCCCATTCAGGATGTGGGGAATAAGGCAGAGGGATGGAGGATGGAGGAAAAACAGGAGGAGGAGGAGGAGGAGGAGGAGGAGGAGGAGGCGGGGGAAGAGGAGGAGATGGAGGATGGGGGGGGACCAGGAGAAACGGGGAGGAGGGAGGGGGAGCATTGGGGGAGGGATGGGGAGAAGGGGGAGGACGAGGGAAGAGGAGGAGGAGGAGAAGGAGGGGGGAGGAGGAAGGGGGGGAGTAGAATGAGGGAGGGAGGGAGGGGGAGAGGGTAGGGGGAGGGGCAGGGTGTAGGTCAGCGCCGATGGTCTCCTGACGGATGCCAGCCTCGTCTTCGGGTCCGAGATGGTGTGAGGGGCGCATCCGTATTTTCCTCCTTCTTCTCCTCCTTCTTCTCCTTCTCCTCCTCCTCC